CCATGCCCTCTCGCTGCTGCCCCGCTGATGTTTCAAGATCCTCGTCCCTCGTTCCCTTCGGGCCAGGGGGGTAGCCACTCGTCTCCGTCAAGCCTTTTTTTTTTTCCATCGATCGCGGGTCGCATCTCAGGTAAGGTTCGGAACCGTCATCTCCGGCATCCCCTGCGAGTCGCGGAGCTCGCGCGCCTCCCAAGTAATGTTCGCAGAACAGATCATCAGCCTACGCAATGCCGCGCCGTGGGCCGACAAATGGGGATGGCCCCCCTCCACAGGTCGATTGCGAGGGGGCTGCGATCTGGAGGCTACGAAAAAATAATTACCTTGTGACGTACCCAACCCATTTGTATCATGGGAAACGAGGAGTTGGCCGAAACTTGCACGGACAGTCAAATTGCAGGATCCGTTGTTTGATATGTAAGCTGCTTGGGACACGCGCCAATGGCATGATGCACAGGAGAACCATACAAGAACGAGGGGCGACAACTACAGGCTCGAAGAGGACATGGGGAGTCGGGAACGAAGAGCAGGAGAAAGACGTGCGGGAAGCCCACTGTGCTGTGCCCCTCAGCAGCCCTCGAAAGTGGCGACAGTTTCACAGATGGCGAGGTCCCATTTGAGTCTGCGGTGAGTACCCACTGTGCTGGGCCCCTCAGCAGCCCTCGAAAGTGACGACAGTTTCACAGATCGCAGCCCCCCAGGGATGGCGAGGTCCCATTTGAATGTGGCGACAGTTTCACAGATCGCAGCCCCCCAGGGATGGCGAGGTCCCATTTGAGTCTGCGGTGAGTTCCCCTGTGCTGGGCCCCGTAGCAGCCCTCGAAAGTGGCGACAGCTTCACACACCGCAGCCCCCAGCAGCCCACGAAACGCAGCGACGAGCGAGGTAAGAAAGTGGCGACAGTTTCACAGATCGCAGCCCCCCAGGGATGGCGAGGTCCAGTTTGAATCCGCCGTGGGTACCCACTGTGCTGGGCCCCCCAGCAGCCCTCGAAAGTGGCGACAGTTTCACAGATCGCAGCCCCCCAGGGACGGCGAGGTCCAATTTGAATGCGCCGCGAGTGCACATTGTGCTGGGCCCCCCAGCAGGCCTCGAAAGGGGCGACAGTTTCACAGATCGCAGCCCCCCAGGGATGGCGAGGTCCCATTTGAATCAGCCGTGGGTACCCACTGTGCTGGGCCCCCCAGCAGCCCTCGAAAGTGGCGACAGTTTCACAGATCGCAGCCCCCCAGGGATGGCGAGGTTCCATTTGAATCCGCCGTGGGTACCCACTGTGCTGGGCCCCCCAGCAGCCCTCGAAAGTGGCGACAGTTTCACAGATCGCAGCCCCCCAGGGATGGCGAGGTCCCATTTGAATCCGCGCGGGTCACTGTGCTGGGCCCCCCAGCAGGCCTCGAAAGTGGCGACAGTTTCACAGATCGCAGCCCCCCAGGGATGGCGAGGTCCCATTTGAATCCGCCGTGGGTACCCACTGTGCTGGGCCCCCCAGCAGCCCTCGAAAGTGGCGACAGTTTCACAGATCGCAGCCCCCCAGGGATGGCGAGGTCCCATTTGAATCCGCCGCGGTGCGCACTGTGCTGGGCCCCCCAGCAGGCCTCGAAAGTGGCGACAGTTTCACAGATCGCAGCCCCCCAGGGATGGCGAGGTCTAATTTGAATCCGCCGCGAGTGCACACTGTGCTGGGCCCCCCAGCAGCCCTCGAAAGTGGCGACAGTTTCACAGATCGCAGCCCCCCAGGGATGGCGAGGTCCCATTTGAATCCGCCGCGAGTGCACACTGTGCTGGGCCCCCCAGCAGCCTCGAAAGTGGCGACAGTTTCACAGATCGCAGCCCCCCAGGGATGGCGTGGTCCCATTTGAATCCGCCGCGAGTGTACACTGTGCTGGGCCCCCCAGCAGCCCTGAAAGTGGCGACAGTTTCACAGATCGCAGCCCCCCAGGGATGGCGAGGTCCCATTTGAATCCGCCGCGAGTGCACACTGTGTTGGGCCCCCCAACAGGCCTCGAAAGTGGCGACAGTTTCACAGATCGCAGCCCCCCAGGCATGGCGACGAGCAAGGCAAAAGGCAGGGGGGAAGGCGACGAGCGAGGCGAAAGGCAAGGGGGAAGAGGGGCGGGAGGGGGCGGGAAGGAAGGAAGGAAGGAAGTAAGGAAGGCGACGCGCGAGCAGTGCTCTATTCAAAACGAGAACCCAACGCAGGAGGGTTGGGAATAAACCATCCCCTACGAAGTCAACCCCGCTAATCATGTTGGCCACGTCTTGCTCAAGGGTTGGTACATCGTCGGGACCCCTGGGGTCTTGGGAACCGTGTTCCTGTGGGGGGCCTCGCGGGGCCTTGCGAGCTCCCCTCCTGTGCCTCTCTCGAACCCCTCTGGAGGGCCTCGAGAGAGCCCAAAGAGGGTAAAGTCGTTGATCTCCAATGGTTTCTCTAATGCCTTTCGCCTTCTCGCGTTTTCCCGCCTCCAACCCTCGAAGATCGAGGATTTTGAGAAACAGAAAATCC